CATAACAGCACCTACATAATAATTAAGAACTTACATGTCCATTCCTGCATAAACCAGGAGAGAACGGTGTGAAGGACAGGTTCTCTCACAAGCATTACGATAATAACAGCAGCAGCAGCGTCGCGCCAATAAAACTTGTAATAATGATAATTATTATTTTCCTTTGGTCCAGAAGGGCACTTTAGCCAGAGGGCAAAGTCACAGTGTCTGTGTGCTTCTGTCTGCACGTCTCTGCCATGAAGATTTAATTAGCTACTGTATGTGACTTCAGATATAGGTCAGATCTTGTTCAGAGACTTTGACTTAGTTCATATAAAATAGGGATTTTCTACTTGTGCAGTTTTGCTCTTGGGTAAATCTGGGTTTCCCTGACCCACATCCTGTTTTGAACCTCACCGAGAGAGTTCAGAACAGTCTACCAGGGGAAGTGAAGCAAAAGTATGTATTGGCTTTTCTTCATAGAAGCTTGTGATAATGATCTATCCTGCAACTGCAAATATTTTGCACTTCGCTATCTCTGTTGTGGATCTCGTTTTCTGCATTTGATTATCTATTGTGTTTAGTCAGATGTTGATCTTGTGGCACAGCGTTGTTAACCATTGAATGACAGCGTCACACCGGTGCACTTCAACAACACCTCTGCTGACACCTGCATTGTGCAATCATTACCACTCACACAGTCACATGTTTATGCCTGTGAGGATGTTGTGATGGTTGAGCTGCTGTTCTCTGTCAAAACACACCGACAAGGTCGTCAGTCGTGAAGACGAACGTAGCGTCATTTGTTCCCATTCACAAGCCTGGCCTTTAGGTAAGGTCACCCTGAGACCTTTACAAACAGCCTTTAAAGTTACTTATTCACTCAAGGCGCAGGAGCCACAAATCTCCCCTGTGAACGGCACAATAAGTCACTGATGTTTGTAAGAAAAACAAACTATACTATTGGTGTATAAATCATTTAGGGGCTCAACTTAGTTTTGACAATATTACTGACTCCCGAGGGAGTCACAGGCGCATGGGAAACCACAGTGAGATGGATAGTGTATTCCTTTTGTAAGTACATCATGTTTCAGCGGAACATGAAAAGGCATCCCGAGGAGCAATAACTCATCTTCGCAGTTTCCCACATGGCCCTCATGTCTTTGACATATCTAAAGAAGAGTGGTGGTGATTACTAAATGGCCCAACTCCAAAGCCATATAGCCAACAAAACACCCTCATCATACACGCTGAAACTGAGATCTCTCTGTTGCTTTACAACAAAGGCTTCCTCAAGTAAAATGGTTCCAAGATAAAAACCCAGAGCCACTCGGTATATATGTCACATTCTGGATTACTTTGAATACTTTTCCTAACGTTAACAGTGCAGTCATTGTGGACGGATAATTTTTTTTATTGTGACCATTTTAACTTAGGAGTTGTTTGACATTTTGGAAACTAGTCTTATTTGCTTTCTTGCCAAGCTTTAGATTAGAAGATCAATACTTTTTCTAAATATTATATATTGACACTTTTGTTTGTTTTCTAAATGTGAAGCTATAGCCAGAAGTCTATTAACCTAGCTTAGCATAAAGACAGAAAGCAGATGATAACAGGTACTCTGGCTCTGTCCAAAGGTAAAAGGGGGAAGAATTTCCAACCGGCACCTATAAAACTTTCTATTTACATGTTTTATTGCTTGTGTAAGACAGGAAGTCAATATAACCTGGAAATAATCTGGTAAATAAATCCCCACAAAATCCCAGTTTGTTGTTACCAGCACCATGGAGATTATGTTTTCACCCCTGTTGGGTTTGTTTGTTTGTTTGTAAGCAAGATTACACAAAAACTACAGGATAGAGCATCATATAACTTAGTGGTGGGTAAGAACCCATTACATTTTGGTGCAGATCCAAATGAGGGGGTGGTGTTGCAAGATTGATTGTTTTTTCTTTCTACATTTTCATAAATTTTATGTGAGTGTGTGAAATTTGATGCAGCTGGATTTAAATTAAGATGACTACTGGGTCTTGGTGAAGGTATGTGCTCCAATGAGTGCCATTCTAGTTTTTACTTTTATTTATTCTAGTAAATAACCAACTGATAACATATTGATTTTGTAATATTGATATTGTCTTTATGCAAGAAAGCATATAAGCACATTTTCCAAAATGTTCAATCCTTCAAATGAGACTCAGCTATTTGGCTGTAAAACTACAAAACTGGAAGCTTGACTTCTTGCATGGAAATGCTTCAGATGCTATTTCGACCTGCAGGGTCTGGTCAGAGCATTTAAACCCTGTCTGTCCTGATCCCTCACTCACAGTTTAGGTTGGAGGAGGGGGATCAACTCTTATCTCCACCAGGGTGTTGTCTGTCTTTTAGGCTGGACCCAACATGGACTCATCTAAAGCCCCCTCTGTTGCCACTTGACCCAGCTTCATGGAAAACATTCCTAAACAAACATTGCAGACATCTTGCAGATACTGTATCACTTTGCTCAATGTACTGTACCACAAAAATCCCAAAAACTTCACTCTGCCCTACACCTTCCTGCTCGCTCTGACTCCAACACGCTCTATGAAAACAACCGCTTATTTATTCTGTCTCCATTTTGAGAGCAAACATGTCTCCAGCCCAAGCACACCAAACAACTCACTCTCACAGTAAACAGCCAAGCACAGACAGGCAGGTTGTTTGTCCCTGCACTGAAATAATAAATCACAGGCAGCAGGTTGGCCCTGAGGTCGAGAGGAAAAGTGTATAACTGGGAGGTTGCTGGTTTGATTCTGCAGGGCTGACCACAATATTACGGCATAAAACTTACCATGACAGAAAATACACGATTTAACATATACATATATCCTGTTGAAGATGAATTTACTGTCAGAAGAAACAGGTGTTAAAGTAAAACGCCAGCACTCCCTTCCATTCTGTATTTGTCCATTTTTCTACATCTGCCAAAACATTTCTTGACACACCATATATTCACTGTATTAAAAGTTACCAAAAGTTACTTAAGAAATCAAGCCATGACCCAGGGAGCACCAGTGGGGAGAAACATTTAATCACACAAATCTCAGTATGAACCTCGCTGTAAACAGAACAAGGACCTTTGACGTGACTGCACAGGGAGGTTTTTTTCTCCCATCCCTTCTAAGACATCCCATAACATCAGTGTAGGATTACCCACAAGCTCAGACTCTCTTTGTCACACTTTGTCCATGAAGTCTTTGAAAAGCCCTTGTTTTTAGTTCTGGATATGCACATATGGAAAGGTTTTATTGAGCATGGCATTGCATAAAACTGGATTTCCGAAAAGAGGAGGCGACTAGTAGGAACGGGTATCTAATCGAGACAGGGTCTGACCCGACAGACACTGTTTCTGCCGAGCGCAGCAGAAGCTTTTCTTTCCGCACTGGAGTTTCATCTACAATTCAAATACGTTCAATACTATAGGACCTCCTGCTGGGATTGAAAATGCAGCCAAATCAAAGTGTCAGGGTGGTAAAAAAAAAAGAGTAATACCACGCTTCCTTCACATGCAGTGAGAGCTGCGCTCAAACACAAATCCAACGGCGGCACCTCAAATATTCATTATCATACCACACATTGTGATGTCAGGTCGATTTCCCCCCACGCTTTCACCTGATCTCCTCCTCAGTCAAAGTGTGTCGCAACATGAAAGTCTTCGCTTGCGGTTGTACAGCTAGTGTCCTTCCAAAGTTGCTTGTTTTCACAAGTGTTGTGCATGCCTGAACGCTCACCCTCTGAGTTGTAACTTTCTGACTGTAATGTCACCTTATCTAATATTTAGGCCTGTGTGCACCAATCTGGCAGTTTATCATATAGACATATTCATGTGTGGAATATTTAGTTATAGCTTTGCATTGGGAAACTATGACAATAGCACAATAGGCTATCTGACTGTATTCAAATCCAAGAGTGTAAATGAGGACATATTAGAGCCTCCGACAGTGAGTGGAATTTATAACACCTCATGTTCATCTCTATAGTTTTAGTCAGCCAATATTATTAGCTAATCAATTGCAACCATGGAGTGTTCAATGGCTCCAAATAAACAACCAAAAAAATAATAATAATACAAATGTGTGGTATACCAAATATATATTTTTTGCCAAACTTTGGACATCATGTATATGTGTGTGTGTGTGTTTCTGTAAGACTCCCATACAGAACAAAAGACACATACTTGTGTGCCCTCTCACGCAGGATGTCTGTATGAAGTATTGACACGACTCTGATGAAACTGAGTTTACTCTGAGAGGACATAACAAAAATAAGATTTTAAGGTCTTGACCTTCTATGTAAAGTGCCTTGAGATAATGTATACTATGATTTGGTGCTGTACAAATAATATTGAATTGAATTGAAAAATCAACAAACCTCATTTATGTTTCACACTCGTCTTGCAACATTATAGCTCCATTGAGCTTTCTGGTAATATTCTTTTCGTTGTGGTCTACTAAGGGTTTGTTTTGTTTATGAATGACCTTTATGTTGTTTGGACAAATGTTTTATTTGTTTGTGTCAATCACAAACTAATTTACTATCTGCGCACTTACCATAGTAGTTACGGTATTCGAAATTTCGCCCCAACGAGTGATGCCTTCACTGACTGAAAGAACTGTTGCGTTTACTTGTTAAAGTAACTCAAACCATGTATGAACTTGATGTTTTTTTCAAACAAAGACCACGAGTACAGTGTGATCAACTGATCTTAGAATATTGAAGAATAGATTACTGCTGTAACTTTTGTAACTTTCTGCTCAAATTCTTAAAGTTTAACTTTTAACAAGTCTCCTTCATCCAGATCGAGTCTTTTTTTACTTCATACTACCACAACAAAGTTGTTTCTACTTGAAAAAGTTAACTAAAGTCATTCTTCTCAGAGTTACAAACTTTTTCCCAACTTTTGGGAAAGTGTGACTTTCCGAGGCGGGCTTGAAGGCATCAAAAGTGTGTGTCAATTAGCGGAGCAGAGCCAGAGGAGTGGAGAGCTCAGAGTGTGTGTGTGTGTGAGCTCAGAGTGTGTGTGAGAGCTTCACCAATGACCAGCTGAAAACAACCACTGCTCCGACTCTGATCTGCGGGGGTGGGAGCACACAAGTTCGGATTTGGACTTTTTTTTTTTGAAAACCATGGGATTCGAGTTGGACCGCTTCAAGGGGACCGTGGACCCGGACTTCAAATGCAACTTGTGCAACAAAGTGCTGGAGGACCCGCTGACGACTCCGTGCGGCCACGTCTTCTGCTCCGGCTGCGTGCTGCCCTGGGTGGTGCAGCAGAGCAGCTGCCCCGTCAAATGTCAGCGGATCTCCGCCAAGGAGCTGAACCACGTCCTGCCGCTGAAGAACCTCATCCTGAAGCTGGAGATCAAATGTGACAACCACGCGCGGGGCTGCGATGCCGTGGTGAGGCTGCAGCATCTGGCCGAGCACGCCGAGATGTGCGACTACAGCCCGGCCAAGTGCCGGAACCGGGGATGCGGCGAGGTGATCAACCTGCGGGACGTGGACGCTCACGCGCGGGAGACGTGCGACTACAGGCCGGTGGGGATCTGCGAGGGCGGCTGCGGGCTGATGCTCACCCACAGGGAGCAGACGTCGGGCGGCCACTGCTGCCTGGGAGCCCTGAAGGCGCACAACAGCGCGCTGCACTGCAAGATCCTCAGCCTGGACCGGGAGTTCAAGAAGCAGACCATCAAAGCCAACAAGAGGGAGAAGACGCTGCTGGCGCAACTGTCCTCCGTGCACAGCGAGCTGCAGATGACTGCGCTGAAGTATCAGAAGAAATTCACCGAGTACAGCGAGAGGATCGACTCCCTCACCAAGACCGTGGCTTTCTCCTGCAAGGTAACCAACTTTCCCCTCTCAGGGAACTTTCCCCCTCTTGAATCCGCTGTTACTTCTCCCTCTCTTTGAGAAGAAACCTGCAGAATCACCAGAAAAAACACAGAAAACACACACCAATGCATGTTTTTTAGAACATAAACAACCAGACCTCAACAAAAAAGTCTCTTCAAATATATATCAGCAACATGGGTGAGTCATCCTGCTTTATAAATGTTGAAGATCCAACTTTATGGGCCTTAAAATGTCTCCCTCAACATGCATTCTGGGACTCAGAATCTCATTTTGTTGGGCCTCCATGTTGTTTTGGCTCAGTAGTGACCTACATCCTTTTTTATATTTTACCTCATCACAGATGCAAATGGAAGACAAACTGGATTTTTTTTCTTTTTTTCTGACTTGTTCTCTCTTGTGGAACCAACTTTTTTCAGGAGTTTGTTTTCCCCCTGTGAGTGGCAGGGATGTCAGCTCTGCCTCTGGCCAGCTGGCAGTCTTTGGGTGGGGGTGCAGGGCCAAATATTTACTGCAGTTCTGTACACAACAAGAGCCAGGCTCCAGCTCTACTGTATGTCCCAGTGTAGCAGCATGCTTGTTGGAGCCCCTCTGTCATCAGGCATTTGAAGTTGTGTGAGTGTGGTGGAAGATATAGATTTTCAATAGGGGCCCCAGCAGCGAATAGAAGAACTTCTGAGGGCCTGAACGTCCCTTTAAAAGACAATGTTTTGGAGAAACTGATCCTGAGAAAGATTTGATGATTGTTCCCGTCCGTTTACACTGTTGAAAGATGAAGCTTTTCTCATAACTCTCCTCTAATAGAAGTATCTAAATCTTTGGGGCCTTTGGTTCAAGAATATATATATACTTCTATGTTTTTGTTTGAACTCAACCCCCCTCCCCCCACCCCCCTGCTTTTTTCAACTAAAACGATCTCTGTCCACACAACCTCTTCTCAGTTTTAACGCCCATCCATACTCACTCACCTGAAAACGCACATCACGTGACCTCTCATGTACACTGGGCGTGTGGGTGCTGGTGTAAACAGGAAGCATTCGGTTGTTATTTGTAGAATTGTTGCAGATTACTTGAATTTTATCTCATCTTTTACCCACGTAAGCACTCGCATCATTGTAAAATGCAGAATTTAACGACACAACATCTGTTAGCAAAGACAACAGTCAGCAACACACGTAACTGATTGTCCATGTTGGGTTCTACACTGGTAGCTGGGGCTAATGCCAGTTGTTTTCTTAGTAAATGGGTCATGTGATGCCTGATGAATCAACAAAGGCTACGTCGTGGCCGAAAAGACCCAATCAGCAAGCGGTTGTTAGTGTCTACATCCTTGTTTCCAAACGTCTCAGTTTCTGCTCATCCAGCCCTGCAGTCTTTAAACTGAAACAGGGCCAGCAGTGTTTCTACACTTCTGTTTTAATAATCAGGACAAGTTGCACAGACTGAACAGACACTGCTGACAGTTGAAGGATGAAAGTGAAGTGCGGATGAAAGTTCCCATTCATCCACGTAATCAGTCCATTCACTGAACATGTGGATAACTGGGATCTTCTTCTCCGGTGTTGTGCTCATTTAATTTCCCACCTCTTAATTCCCTGTTTTTGCCAGTGAAGTTTCTCACACAAGTGGCTGCTTACAAAGACTTCACTCTTTTCTCAATTATCTCTGTCGTTTTTTCTGGCTCTGTGATTTCATTTATTCATTATGGGCTCACATCCTCAGCAACACGAGTTTCGGTAGACTGGTGAATTGTGCAACAAAAGCACCGATGCAGGGAAATGGTGGAATCGCTCACGCTGGTGTGGAGAGGCTTGCTGGGCCTGTAGCACAGCTGGTTATCATGGTTGGTTTGACAGCGGCATCTAAGTCCTTCCACTGAGATATATACGTTTAGTGCTGTGTTACCACCACCCAGTGTAAACAGGCAGACACAATTTAAACGCACTGTCTGTGGAAGATGTGGGAATTCTTCCGGAAATCCTCCACGTAGGAGAAAGAGAAGCATTTTTGTGGATGATGTGGTTTCTTTGAAAAATATGTTTTTTTCTTTCATTTCAGCCAATCAGTGAACAGTATTGTTCGGTGGGAGAATCTCAATGTACACATGTCAGTATGAAACAGCATCACAAGTGAGATTAGCTCTGGGAGGTAGGCAAATAGCAGACGGCGACGGAAACTCTCTGAGACCCTATAGCTGGATTTATGCTTCTGTTTCAATGGGCAGTGGTGTAACCATATGGGCTCTAAGGTTACGTTGTAGCTAATGTGTGCCTCCTCAAAAAAGAACTCATGTGTGGATGTAGACATGTCATGTGCAGACAGCAAGGGTGACTTGCTGCTTGTGTTGTACACGTTTCAGTCTTTCTGACCTCTGCGGTCTGTTGACAGCAAAGAAAGGAAGTGAAAACCTTGATCACAGATGTGTAAAGCCAACATACGCAAAATTGGGTCTGGGCTTTCTCCAGAGTTTGCCTTCCACACATGAACAACTCAGCTGGAGATTCTCCTCTCAGACAGGTTCACACAGAAATCTGAACAGTGTTCAGGTGAAGGCGCAGGGGGCAGGATATAACGTGTAAATTCAGCTGGTAGTTCATGTGTTTTGTTTTGTTTATGGCTATTTCATCCTGAGATATTTCTCTTTGTTTTTTTTCAATTTAACACGTGATTTACACACCCACTCACTCTGAATCCTCTTCTGGGCTCATTCAGACATCATGCAGAGTTTTTACTTAGAGGCTGGGGCAGGAGAAACTCAGCAGAGTGTCCATAGCAACTGACTCAGACCTTTGCGTTCCTGGATACAGCTTTCCCGGATAATCTCCTAAAATCATCCGGAGTTCAGTGCATGTCTGAAAGCGTCCTTAGAATGACTGAATGTAAACAGTGGTTACACAACAGGATCCTACATATTAAGTTAGCTGGATGAAACTGCAACTCTACAAATCTGTGTATCTTACTGTGGGAAATATAAAATATAATACGGCCTCATCCTATACAACACATACAGTACATCTAGTGTTGTGCAGTTGATGTCACCGTGTGAAATCTGACCCTCGACTATAAATCAGAACCCGGCCGCAGACGCCTGGAGTCGACTATAAATCCATGTTAACTTCTTTTTTGTGATTTAAATGATCAGTGATCAGTCAGATTAGACGAGATTTATGGCCTATTAAACGTTCCTCGGGAGGGAAGCTCAGGTTTTGACATTTATGATGGCTTCCTTCAAAGTCACAGCGAGCCAGCATTCACAACAGCACGCAGCTGGAACAGTTAAATGAAGTGCATCCCTCTCCAGCTGTGTTCCACAATACTAAATGTCTGTGGTGGGCAGGCTCTATAATGCAGATTTGCTGTGACATATTTGTTCCTCGAATCACTGTCAAAGAGTGAATACAGACCCATCATTTCATGCGACGTCTGACGGGTAACCTACTTTACTTTGTTTTTGAGTGTCTGTCACTCTCCGTCTTAACGCTTCCTCAGCCAGATGGTGGGTTTTAACGTTTTCTTAAGACATTCAAATCAGACGCCTACTGCGAGGGAGATCAGGGTGGCCTGGCTACATGGAATAACTGACTGAAGTTTCCAAAAATAGCCCTTTTTAAAACATGTTAAACTTCTCCGGTGAGCGAGGAAGGGCGATAAACCAAAGCGAAAACAAAAAAGAGCTCAGATCTGGCTATGGTTCACTTCAGGGCTGCTAGAACTGCTGTCACACTTTCCATTCAGCCATAGATCTCTGTTCTGAACCGAGCCTCCTCTGTAGCTGCTGCGGACGACAGTGTTTTCCGTGATGTGATAAAGAGCATCTATCAAAATCACAAGACATCAGACAGATTGAAGCTGCATTGAATTTGATCTGGGTAATCAGGGGCCCAATCTGATTAGGCTAATTGTGGACTCATTTTAAAGCATGAATCTACAAGAAAAGTTAATAGACTAATGTGCTCCATTAGTTATCTCTCACGCATGGGTGTCAATTGGATATGAAATTAATAAATGGCTTGTAGAAGTACAACCCTTCAAGAAATTGATGATGCTGCTGTTTCCTTTGAACACATGCATCATCTTCACTGAGTAATTATCTCCTAATTGATTTGAAATCCATCGTATCTTCCTGCCCAAGCTGAAAGCCCTCAGATGACCAGGTCACTGAGTTTCTGCCTCTTGGCTCTCAGGCCAATAGTTCATGAATCAATATTTCCTTTTCCGTTCTAGATCTTAGTACCTACACTATAATTAGATGCTCTATGTTGAGAGGAGGGAGACGGAGGAGAAGGCAGTGTGACGGAGGACAGACTCGGAAAGTGTGACTGGTGCTGAGGTGAAGGCTCACTGCGAGTGTGCCAAGTCACCAGAGAGCAGCAGACTGAAGTTTCACTGCAACTTTGCTTCCTATCTGTGCTCTTCTTATTTTTTCTTTGTCTTCTTCTTATTCCTCTTCTTCTTTCCTTTATTCTGATTATTCTTATCCTCCCTCCTTTTCTCTCCTTCTTCCAGCTGTCTTTCTTCCCCTTCTTACACTTTTCCTTCTTCTCTTTCTTCTCCTTCTTCCTCTTCTTCCTCCTTCTGTCCTTCCTCTTTTCCTTCTTGCTCCTCTTCTACCTCTCATTCTTTCTCTCCTTCCTCCTCTCCTTCTTCCTCTTCTTCTTCCCCTCCTTGTTCTTCTACTTCCCTTCATTCTTTTTCCTATTTTTCTTCTTCTTCTTCTCCTTCCTCCTCTTCCTCCTCTCTATTCTCCTCCAGTAAAGTTTAATGTTTGTTTACTTGACACGTGTTTTCCCTAAATGATGTCCACATGATCTTGATTTGGTCTTAAGGACATTTCATTTTTTACCACCAAGGCATACCTAAAGTTTTAGGAAATGCACAACCTCCTGAAGAGATTCACTCAGATCAGAGTTTAGCTCGAGTGTTTGCAGATGTGGAAAAAAACCTCTGCTTAATTACTCTGAGTTCATTTTAATGGCTCTCGTGGACGACATGTGAAAACACCTTTAAAATTCTTCCGGCTTGTTTCGAGGCTTGTGGCAAATTCAGCTTAATTATCCTGTCGTTTTATTTTTGTTAAGTTCCCAGTCATATCCTACTCAGTTTCCACCTTATGGCCAGCTCTCCTCTTGTCGACAATAACGTCTGTAGAGACCATAATTCGGAAGCATGTGTCACTAATGTGTCCATGACACTGTGCAGGAGTGGACATTCCAGCACGACCCGACAGGCACATGACGGTCGTTTTAGCCTATATGGCAGTGAGGGCACTGTACATGCCAATAATATCTGCTTTATATTTAGTCCCACTATGCAGCAGCATACTGGAGTGGCAGCTGAAATTATGTTACCTCATAACTCCCCTCTAAGTCTTGCTTAAAAAAACAGATTAAGAGCTGACTCTGCAAGTTTCCCAGCGATCTTCATGTCATGTTGCGCCCGGGTAAGAGGTCTGCTGGTGTATTAATTTACATAGGACAACGGTTTGCGGGAGGGAAGGGCTGGCGGCTCCTCTTTGAAACTGTCACTTTTACTCTTTGGGCTAAGCTTGGAGTACGGCGAAGTTTAGAGCTGAGCTACTAGAGGGAAAATACCCGATCCATTTCAAGACCATTTGCCAGCAACAGTTGTCATTATAGCCGGTGACATCTACAGCTGCATTTAAATCTTTAATTTCCTACAGCTTGTAGGGCATTGTTAACTGTGTGAGTTGTTATCTTTAAGCTCTCGAGGTTGCACTCTTCGAAATTGCAGTTTTGCTATAAAATTGATTATCTGCTCAGCCCAAGTGAAGATGGGAATAAAGAGGTGTCATTAGGCCAATCTTTTCAGTTACTCTCCTTAATGTGCAGGGAATGGTGTCATTAACTTGCTCCTGCCCCTGCACAGTGCTCTATCTGTAATTTTATGTGTTTCAACCCCTCAATTATCTGCTAATAAGGAAATATTCTTCTATGTCCTGTTCTTCCTCACCACGTAGCCGGCTCAATCAATCTGTTGCTCACCTGGAGCTAATGATAGATTATTATGAATTACCTCCTGCCACATCTTTGTTCACGTGTCTCTCCTCTGTCTGTCCGTAGGAAGGCGAGACTAAAAGCATGACGGTTGTCCTTCTTCGTGAGGGCGGATCTCTGGGTTTTAACATCATAGGAGGAAGGCCATGCGCGGTAGGTTAAAAGCCGAGCGATCTTGGAGGTTTTCATCTCCCTCGGTGATCAGCCAAGTGTCATATGGCAACCCAGGAATGAATAGCACATACTTAAGAGCACCACAAGCTCTCTGTGTACTGACTGACACAGCTTAGTCATGCATGTGTTTTGTAGTCTGTGGATAGATGGACCGCATCTATCAAGTTTTATTGTGTTTATATATTGGTCTGGTTTAGCGGATTTGGCATCACAGATTAAAAAAAGTATAATTAGTTTTATGAGAGTTAAATCTGGGATTATGGCTTCGACCGCAGTTGTTTTGTCTCTAATTGAGGGGATTTCGGTGGTGAGGTAAACACAGAGGGGAGGAAAGGGTCTCTTATTCCGCCCTGAACCTTTCACAGCCACAATGTTTCCTGCCTCGAGGCTCTGAAGTGAAAGTCATTAATGACGCCGCTTGTCTGCTGAGTGACGGGTTGAAAATATCTTAACGCTGGCTTCCACTCTGTCTTCCATACATGGATCTCCTTTCTGCCTGGTCCTACTGAAATGGTGTTCCCCCGTATCCATTGCACCGGGACTGCACTCAAACTGTTACGGGGCACTTTTTCCACAGCCACAGTGACGCACATTTCTGTAGTGATATTTAACACAACTTTCTATTGCAGGAAACTATAAAAACTGTTTGTTTTTTTTTTGTTGGTACCCGACTCCATGGTCTGGTAGATTTGCAGTCTTGCTTGCTGTTGTGACAGAACCCATGTATCAAACTCAACCAAAAGAGAGTGGAGATGATACTTAGCTTTTTCTTCCCTTTCGCTGCTAGCCTCAAATCAACAGTCTGTGTAAGAAGCTATTCATTAAAATGGAAATAGCTAATATCCCTGTAGGCTCTGACAAGGGCGTTTCATGTGGCTGTTATTTTGGCATTGCTTGGTAAGAGCAATCAGCTGTCAGGTTTTGTGGTCTCTACAAGGGCTAGTTTGTCCACAGCTCTCAAGATAGGAGTAATTGTAAGGCAGAGGAGTGAGCTTGTTGAAGCATTGCTGTAAATTCACTGTATGTGATGCCACTGAAAGAGGAAGCAGAGCAGAAATTACTAATTAGAGTTGGCACTGTGACTGTGGGGTCTCCTTAAGTGTCCCTTTACATTTCTGTTGTGTGCCATTGTTCTGTTCTGTACAACTCAATAGGGGTGAGTAAAATAATAATTTTTTGTTATTAAATATCAACAATAGGGCTGGGCAATTAAACAATGTCAATAATTATTGTGATTTAGATTTTCATGATCATCAATAGCGTTATAACAAATGTTCAATATATATTGATATAATGCTTAGGAAGTATAACACATAATTGATCTACGTCAGATTGATAAAAGGTTATTCTCTATGTTTAAAACAACAACCTTCAGTCTGGAGCAAAGATCAGTCTATAAACTTAAAAGAAATAATGTCATTATTATTACTATTTATCGTTTATATAGACTGTTGTGAATATTTCAGTCTTAATATAGACACACCCACGAAAGGTATTTGGTTGGTGAGTTCAACCTCCGTGAATGTTTACATGAAATGCCTGAGCTTTTTAAAAGTAGATTTATTTATTCAATGTTTGTTCAAATGTCAGAATGGGTGGGCGATCTGATGATTTCATATCGTTCACGATCTTAAAGACATCCAACATTTATATTTATATAATTAATGTATTAAGATTTATAATATTTCAAACAAATTGTAGAGATCACAACGTGTTATGTCCTACTCCTTAGTACATTAGTGTCGATCCGTGCTACATTCACAAACCAACAAAAAGATTAACCCCTGGATGGCTATTCAGACCGGCCCGAATTGATCTCTTTCATGCATAATATATGTTTATCCATTGTGAAATAACAGCAAGAGCAAGAGGAGTTGGTGCCAAAAAGGTCCCAATGTCAGTAGTGTGGTTCAGTCTGATATTTCTATCTGTCAACTTTGTCGGACAATGATTGTGTTTCACTCAGACCGCACCCATCTGCATCTGACAAGAAAAACATAACTGAGGCATTAGAGCAGTCCAAAAAATGGATAAAAACATCTATTCTATTTAATTTGTCAAACAGATCTTTTGTTATTCAGTGGTTCAGTGTTATGATTGACTGATTTTTGCTTTGTTTAGTATTCAAAAGAAAGTTTAACTCTGGTTTTTATGACCATTTTGTTAATGGAATATTTTGTCCACAGGATGAGTGGAGTCAGGATATTCTCTCCAGTACAAGTCAAAACTGGGAAGGAAGGTCACAATACAGATGGATCATGTGTTAATAAGGGATATAGTTTGGGTGATGATCGCCCACCCTTTGTTCACATTACTTCTCTCCTTAACAATTTGAGCTCTGTGCTTTAATTATGTTTGAGATAATAACTGCTGTTTATTTCACAGGATGATAATGACAGCACTTCAAATGAAGGCATCTTTGTATCCAAGATCGTCGAGGATGGTCCAGCGGACAAGGAAGAAGGCCTTCAGATCCACGACAGAATAATAGAGGTATGTGTAGGCCACCCTGTCGTGTTTCCTGGAGCAGGAAAACAATGTGGAAGTCAATGTAGTGTAGATGTGGAACTTGGATTATGTGACAGCTGCTGTCTGCCCTATAAAGATGACGAGAGCGAGGAAGCACGAGACCATCACTCAATATTTCTGTTCCAGTGACCTCTGGAAATGAAACTCTGGCTGGAAGCAGCAAATGTGACGCATCGCATGAGCATTTTACATTTTGGGCTTTTATTTCAGCTTGAGATGGTAAATCCTGACAGCTGAAGTTTCAACATATACTTCTACCAATCAACACTCAGGCAAAGCTTTTGTTAAGGGGCATCACTGCAGATATGCCGAGATAAACCTGAGGCGAGGGTGTCTGTCTTTGGTTTTGCTGAGTGAGACGAAGCCCCGCGTTCGCTTCCTCGCTGACAAATCCCTCATGACAGTGCTGCCGTGTAGCGTCCTTCTCTCGCCTTTAAACAGAATCTCATGTGGAAGAGCCGGCTCACCCCGAGGTCAACTTGAGGGATGCGTCGAGAAACTCAACATTACAAAGGTTGCTTTTATAGAACAGTTGTCAGCCAGGATCTCACACAATGGCTGCATTGAACAGAGAGATTTATGTGGATTACGAGTGTGTATTACCAAGCGCCGCAGGGTGACAAATATGGTTTGTCATAAGCCTTATTGTCAAAAGAGAAATTGCCCCCGGAGCTTTTTGACCATCACATCGCTCGCAGAGATGTTTGTGGAAAGTGTTTAAAAGAAAAGAAGATGCCAACATCTGGACTTTGTTGACTGTTCTATTCTGTCATTCATGCAGTCAAATGCAAACAACTTACCTCACCCTGGGGTTCTAAATAATGTTGTAATCATTGCAACACCATACCTAGGATGTGACATATCCTCTTTTAAATTTAAGTAACCCAATAAAGGGTCCCAAAGCTCACTGCAACCTGAGATCTGTCAAGAGATCCCCTAACAGGTTGAGCCAGCAGTTCACTTGGATCCTGGTGTTTCGAGGTCAAAAAGAGACATTTGGGCCACTAGCAAGATGACGAACATGAATGAGTGTCTTTGCGTCCATCTGAAGTGTCTGTTTTTACGAGCTTGCGTGCATCTGTGAGCACAACAAGGTTGGGTTTAGTCATGTTAATGGGCCAGATGTTGCTGTATTTTGTTACTTGAGACCATATCTTTTGGTGGATCTAGTGTTGAGATAGCCACTCACAGCCATTCACGTATTTTGCTTTAGGATAATGCTGCACTTGTGTTTGTCTTGTTTCTGAGCCATTGTGAATGAAGTCACGAAATCTCTTCGACAAGGAGAACACATGAGAGCAGAGGACGTGAAGAGCCTAAGGAGGTAGCAAAGCACCCTATTAAGTGACCTATTCTTTACAAGAGATGAGGGATTAGTGGACAAAAACCAACAAAATAAATCATTCAGCCATTGAAATAGAAATGTATAGACAGTAAAGACTTGTTGTTCCACATTGGAGCTTTTCATCAGCTGGGAAACCTGATAGAAGAGGTGGTTCGTATTTCGAAGACTTTTCCTTTGTTAGGTTGTTCAAGCAAAATATGTCCTTGTCATGATTTGTCAGATCACAATATGAAATGCAACATCATTGTGACATGTTTATGGGTTCATGGGTTGCATCTTTAACCTCAGGTGATTGGATCTGGGGTTGACAATGGTGAATCAAAGGAATTTAATCCCAAGCACCTAAAGGCAGTTTCATCTTTGTGTTTTGAACTTGTGGGCTGAAACCAGCAGTTTGTAACGTTGTCCTGTTTAAAATCTTGTGGAGCTTTAGAAAAGGAGAAGCCTACAAATGTTTTTTACATGCAGCTCTTAATCTTACAGTCTGCGCAGAGGTTCATTATAACCAAGGTTGCTGTTGGCCACAATGGTTATGATCAATCCATCATTTAATGGATGGCTTCACTGTGAATTGGCATTGACAAAGTGTAAAGGCTTGAATCACCAGTGTAAACCTCCGTGCAAAGGTTGAGTTATCTCTTGTCTGTTTAAGCTGAGATGTGTCTGTGGGTTAAAACTTTTCAGATTGCTTTAAAATGGTTTCCAAAAAGTGGTTGAATTATATAGTTTAAAATGTTACTCTTCTTTTGGACACATTGTGGTAGTGGAACAAACTCAAAACACAACACAGACACATTGTTGGAATGATGAATATGTTAACAATAGCTCTTCCTTGTTTACATATTCAGCAGACACAGAACAACGTTTGCATTTCATTTGGAGTCATATTACAGAAGTCCCAAAGAATGAGTCTAATGCTCTTTGTCTTTTTAGCTCTGGTTTGGTCGTCAGGAAATATCTGTTTCTTTATCTGCTAAATCCTTCACATTTTTCGTAAGCTAGTATGCAGCAAACTGTGGATTAATCCAGTGATTTTCCACAGAAAATAACTTGCTGGCTGGAAAACCAAAACAATGAGCTAATGGAAGAGTTTGGTGATCATTCTCACTGGTTAGGGTTCGGGGTTATGGTTACTTAAAAGACCTGTCTCACATACTGTTAATATAAATAACAGTGATGAGTGCATTTTTATTTGGATCTGCACCAAAGTGAAGATGTAAACATGTTTTTTTTTCCATTGTCTGAGAAATTAACGGAAATGTTGCAATGTTAAAGAAATTGGGGAATAAAATTCTTGGAACCACCAAAATACAGTATAATGCGGTCTCCCGTGCGTAATGCTCCGCCCCTCTACAAACTTTAATGGAAATTGGTTGAGTAGTTTTTGCATAACCCTGCTCACAAACAAACAAAACATAACCTCTTTGGCACAGATTAGAAAACTCTGAAACTACTTATACGTGATTTTTAGTACCAATACTGTAATTTTCCACGATGGTTAAATGGAAAATGTTTGTCTTTTTCTCAAACACATGAAATGCTGCTTCTGACAGCCATTGCTGTGGGGATCAGCTGCTCTGCAAAAGGACAATCATGTTACATGGAGAAGTGAAAAGCATGTTCACTTGAGGAGGCAGAAAAAACTACAGCTCAGTCAAGAGCCGTAGCGCTGTTTTCTCTTCCTCCAGCAGAGGTGTTAGTTCCAGTAAGTCTATATGGATGTAACATGTACATGATGATCCACAGCTACTCCTTCTATATCAGGCTCTTAGCGGGGGAGTGTGATAGCAGATGGCTGTCCTCTAGCGCAGCTACAGGCTGGTATGATCCAGCACATGAATGCCTCCTTGTTCATCCAGACATTTTTCTCCTAAAAACCTCGAGGTGTGTTTGCTTCTGCTCCTTCTTGTCGGGATCTGTCTGCCACGGTTAGATAAAAAAGTTTGGATTCAGTTTGATAGTGGGACTGGTCGAGAATGGAGGGCTTTTTCTTTAGCCATATTATACTTTCATATCATGATTTATTGATTGTGTACTTGCGTGTTGTTTAGAAACTATATACCATGTTAATGGAACCCTTGCATTTTGTTTTCTCTCTCGCCTCACATTAGGTGTTGCCGGATGTATGATTTCTGAGTATGTACATTTTCCCACTAAGATGAGCCTGTTTTGCTCGTGCAATATGACTAAAGCCATGTTGCAATAGCAGAATGACTGTGCAGGAGCTCTCAGGGTGAAGGGGATGTTTTCTGTGTGGGCTCCTGTGTGTGAAAATAGGAAGAGAATGGAGACGCCCGGGCTGCTGTTGTAAATGTCGCCTTGTAAATCCTCAGCAAACATTCCCAGGTCGCCGAGGGTGAACAGCAACAACTACTCTAAAATAAACTGACATTGGGAAATGCCTGTTCCAATATGGAGGATGGGGTTGTGTGTTGTTTTTGGGCTTGGATGAGGGGCTAACCAACAGGATAGTGTCCCGACTATATAAAGTCATTTGAATTGGAAAGTGAAAAATTGGAAGGGTAGCAATCAACACAATAATGTTTTTATTCAGTGTCACGTTCTCAACATGCGACAGGGTGTCTTAAAAATTGGAGCCAAAAATAGCAGGCATGTTTATGCTGGCACAGTTTTGTAACAGATGATGCAAGTCGGATTAACTGGCGGTTACATCTGTTAATTCAACATGTTTGAGATGCATTATGCATTTATTTTTATTTTGCTTGATTAGCTTGAGGAAGTGCAGGAGGAATGTGGTGAAACAATGCTAGGGGTCACAATTAAATGTGTCTGAAATGCAAAAGAGGCTGCTCTAAATTCAGCGACTTTATTGGTGGCGAGGGGATAAAAGTGAAGACTTTGATGAACAGATCAACTTTATTATGCTTGATAGATCCTGGTCTTAATAGCATATCACTACAGCTTATACTGCTAATTATTAAAAAAATCAATGAGGCTTAAGTTAATAACATTGTAAATGTTTTAAACTAAATTGGTATTTCACATCTATATTTCAAACATGTGACTGTGACCCTCTTTCAGGCAGCACATGTTGTTTCTTTCTTGTCATTAGCCGTGTGAGTTGCGAGGTTACCCACAGTGAGCCACTAAACACCTCAAACTGCCCCGCAGTTACTTAAGTATCAAATCACCAGGCCAGAGACAGCTTAAAAGCCAAGCCAGATAGCACTTAGCAGTGACTGACAGAAATGTGAGGCGATCTCTGTTGGAGGCGGGTCGGAGGCGTGCATGTCAATGAGCCTTTATTCCTCTGGAGGGTGAGGAGTATTGAGATATTTGAAGGGTTTTGTGAGAAGTCTGAAGCAAATCGCTGCATTTTTCTGCCAATCATGGCTAATGGTTTCCCTTTACACATTCCAGGTATTATTCTCATAAGAAAAAGTCAGGTCAGTTATATGGTCGATTTAGTGAATGATCAGTGCTGTTGTGTATGTGTTTTATGGCATGTAACACAGTGCTACTTTCAAGCATCATTTTACAAGTTCAGAGTGAAACTGTTTACCTGATGGTTCCACTCATGATTGTTGTGTTCAGTCTTGGTTGCAGAAGTTTATTTAGTTTCCAGAGCCTGAACGACCTCGAACAGTTGGTCGATAAT